AGTGGGTTATGTTGCCATGGAATTGTGTTGTGCTGGGTTGTGTGTCGTTTGTGGGTCGGTTGGTAGCATATATGTGGATATGTTATTATACTAAGGGTAGGAATACAGTGGTTATATGCATATATGAATTTGAGGCACACAATAATTATAGGCTTATTGTAAGTATAGGCACATTGTAAATATAGGCACACATCTCGCTGGGAGATTTTCTGAGCATCTTGGTTTAAGATTGCGTGGAATGTCTCTGTTCCCTGCTCACGTGGCTAGCGATTGCACCTGCCGGCGTTCAACCGACCCCACTTGCGGGCCATGCTGGGGGTATCTCCTCTTGTCTGCTGCCTTCTAGATCATGGCTCCATATATGATTGTGTCCCCGTGAGTGGCTAGGGTGGCTGGTGTGGTGGTGACGGGGCCGCTCAGAGCCTCCAGCTCGGGTTGTTACAGGGGTCACTTCCCAGTGTCCAAGGGTCCCTTTACCTTTCTTGGTGGAACCGTGTGCCCTCCGGAGCTCTGCTTCCCCGAAGCCCCTCCGGGTATGTGGACGGTGGGTCAAGTCATGGCCCTGTATGACTCCCTTCCCAAAAGGTTTACTGCTTCGAGCTGTCATTGTGGTTCGCGGGTTGTTGTGCAGGGGTGAACGGTGTCGTCGGCCCTGTGCGCGCTGAGGTTGTTTAGCAGCGGACATTTTACTCCCGCCTCGTGGCTGCTTTATGAGCTGGGCTTCGTGTTTGATTTCTGCGCGTTTTTGCATGCGCTTTTCAAGCTTATGCCAGAATGCTGTAAAGATTGCATCCAACCTTGCTGTGTAATCAGCATAGTCTGTGTGACAGTCTTCTGTGTGCTCCGTGCTCTCCCTGGGTTGGTTCAGTGCTTTTACAACTGCAGTACCTGGGGCACTCTGAAGCTGGTGGGTTTCAGGCTTTAGTGTGGGGTTGTTCGTCCCCGGCGAGGACCGGGATATCCCCCACCGGTCCAAAGGGGGGTGTAGCAGGGCTATTTCTGACTCTCGCTTGTGTGCGTGCCCCCTGTCGGGTGATCGGCCGTCTCCCCCAGACTTCAGGCTCCGCTCCAGTTTAGGCCGCATGGCCGGTTCAGGCAGTTTCATAGCGTTTCTGTTTAGGACGGGTATCATCCTGTGCCCCGGTAGATACTGTGTCGATTTCCGTGCACTGTGAGCCGCTAGTGGTGATTCTTTTAGTCAAAATTGGCTTGTTTTGCTCTCCAGTGCTGGAGCTCTCATGAAGTGCGACCGGCCATCTTGGCTGTCAGGCCCCGCCCCCCTATAAAGTGGAATTATGAGGCAAAAATGTGCTTCTTTGATTAGCTCATTTGCATATGCTTGCCCAGAATCCCTTGCAGTAGTGACAGCATTGTTAAAGTGAGATTTCTGTCGGAAAAGCAAGTCTTATGGCTTAACTGGTGTGTATTTGTGTTAAGCAATGTATTAACTATCCACTTACTTCAGGTGGAAGGGGGTTTCATCCACATGTTTTCTCCCACCACAACTCCTTTGGTATGTACTTAAAAGAGATGTTAGTCAGACACTAAGCTAAATTTAATCAGTTCAGTCTCTCTTCTGACTCTTACTATCCTTACGTATTTTATAACACATTCTCTATACTTAAAAATGTGATCTTCTAGTCTGACCCTTACTCTAAAATTGTGCTACCACTCTGTATGCCATGCTGTTTTCTATTGTTATTATGAGGCTTGTTATAGCTGTCGTGGCTATACAAGTGTGTTGTTATTACTCTCACAACAACAAAAAAGGAATTATCTTTTTTTATTTTCTTTAAAGAAATGTTACCCTTCTCCAGCATCCTACCCTGGTGTGGCAAGACAACTTATTATATCCATTGGGGGGAAGAGAGAGTTTATTTCCCATCATCCTTCCTGGTACCATGCAAGTCCATACACAGTAACAAAGTTTAAACAAGCTGTTTTAATCAAGGATAAAGGCAAAAGGAAAAAAAACACAAACAAGAATTGCATGTGTGAGAATTAAATATTAATTATATGCAAAAGGTAATATAACGTGCATGGTTAAAATTATGTACGTCTGCATAAATATCTTATGTGAATGTGTGCAAAGATTTCTCCGACTGATAAATATATATATATTCTATAAAAGGAAAATATGTCTGAATTATTTTAAGGATTCATGACAAGGAAAGGCTACAATGTCCTCGGTGTTAAATTTAGTGACTACATGGTTGTTTTTGAAAAGGCAGATGTTTGTGAGCAGATAAAATTTGGATGAAAATCATGTAAACCGCACAGCCAAAGTCAGCCAAAGAATTACATTAGCAATTCTTATTGTTGCAAAGTGAAAAAAAAAAAGGTACACATCTTGTAAACTGGGCCGAGAGCAACTTTTTTTCTTAACTTTGATATTTTTTGTACAGACCATTTTTGTCTTTTCTGTCCTTTCTTTTATGTTGCCACAGTGAAGAAAGCTAAATATAGTTGGAACTAAAGAGGTGATGAGGAAATGTGAATACCACCTGCTACTTTCCTCTGTGTCTTCAAGCCATTAAAAAAGATACAACAAATATAGTTCATTTGGTAAAGAAACATGCAAAAAAAAAAAATTATTAGCGGTTTCATAATAAGCAACATCTTATTTTATTTAAAGGCAAGTTTTGAAGTGTTCCATAAAGTGGAGTAAGTTTGCACTGTTTGCTTTTCCTGACATTGGCCTTGATTTAAAAAACTTTCATTACTGTTACAAAAAAGCTGTCAATTTATTAATCTACAAAAATTCCCTTAGACTTTAATGATGACTTCTGTTCATAAATCATTAGGAAAAATTATTAGGAAATTATCAATAATGAATCATTCAGAAAGCTTATTACCCCATTGACGCCGTTAGGGCATGCAATGGTGTCCTACAAAAAGAGGGCTTTAATGCCATTCGGGCGCAGAGCACGCCCTAATGATAGGGCTCTCCCGGCAGCGAGCATTTTTACCCTCTGCGGTGATCATGGGGATTGCCTGACAACCAGTCCCCCTGCAGTCAATCCCACCCATCCGAGTCATGGTACCGATAGACACCGTGATCACATGACTTGGATCAGCGTGACAGATTGGCTGCAGAGGGACTGCCTGGGTCATTTAATGTCATTCTAACTGCATTGTTATATTAACATATGCATAATATATATATATATATATATATATATATATATATATATATATATATATGTGTTCAGTACTCCATGAACAGCTTTAATGGGGTAATATATGTATTAATATCAAAACAGACTTAGAATGAAAATTATATATATATATATATATATATATATAAATGTGATTCTATATGTACTGGCAAACTGAAATGGGTAAGCCTTATATTTTATAACATCTGTACATGGGGGTTACTGTTGCACTCGTGAGACACAGCTGAATGCAAATATTTGTGTTTTATTGCAGTAAAAGCTAACAGTATTATGACATTCACAGTTACAATGCCATGCAGAACAATAACAACATTTCTTAATGTCTCACACTTTTTTAGATTTTATTCAGATTAAATTGTGTTCCATGTATCATTTTTTGATGTGTAATGAAAGCCCCATTTCTCCTGAAGAAACTATATATAATAAGCATGGGTGTAACTCTAGGTTTTGGTCAATTGCCTCTGTTCTTAAGGGGTTAAATGAATACTGTAGGTACTCTGTAGGTACTATAATCATTTCATTTCATCTCATTGAATTGGTTATAGTGCCTGGACTCCTTTGGCACCGTTCCTCCATTCAGTGTTAAACCATTTCCGAGCAGTGAATAAAGGTCACTGGCTTCCAAAAGCACAGCCCCTACTGGAGGTGTTGCTAGGGCAGAGAATTCACACTTTCTTGTCCAGCATTTCCAAAATGTGGCATTCCCTTCATAAATGAAGATGTTAGTATTACCCATGTTGGTTGCAACAAAAACAAGAAGAAAATGCTATGAAATTACAGTTTGTAATGATTTTTTTTGTTTAAAGTACATTGTTTCATGTTTTAGGGAACGGCAGTGCGTTAAACCACTTAACTGTGCAGTGTTCCCTCACCCTCTTAACTGAAACTATGTATCACATCACTGTATAAAAATCCCTTGCACAGTCCAACCATGGCTCAGATCTTCTGGTGATGTCTCCTGTGTTTAGTCTCCCTCGGCCATTGCTTCCATTTCTATCTTCTTATTATTCTTTCCCTTACCAATTGTCATACTTCAGTTTTTTCCTCCTGGCCTGCATTTTCGATAAAATTTACAGCTGTCCACAGAGATCTCCATCATGCCACACCACTCCAGGGACCCTGACCTTTAAACTATCCCTAATTTCAGATTACACAGCAGATTGTGCCATTGTGCTTTTTCAATAACCTTGGTTCAGTTCATTCTAATTTATCATCACATGTTAAGGTTCAAAAGACAGCTCAAGATCTACGGCTTCTAACAGTGCAGCACTACATCAACTTTGCGAGTCACAAGAGTTTTTGTAATTTGTATTTTAATTTTATCATGAGTACATATATGCAATCAGAACAGTACGTCAATTGCTAATTTGTCATGTATATATTTATATTTATATATATATGTATTTTTTTTTCATTAATAATAAACTCATAAACAAGCCTTGTATAAAATAATTGTAGTTAACTCCTTCATAAGAAAAACCTATATTTATTCATGTTAAGTACTATTTCACTGGTTTATTGAGTAAAGCTAGCCATAGGACATTTAACCCCTTAAGGACACATGACATGTGTGACATGTCATGATTCACTTTTATTCCAGAAGTTTGGTCCTTAAGGGGTTAAACAAATATTCGCTTGAATATATTTGGCATTGTAATTGCCAAGTTCAGCTTGAAATATTGGAAGAGATACTCATAAATTAAAGTGGAAACTCAAGTGCCCACTAAAGTCAAACTGGAGACATCTTGATAAGACACAGCAGGGTCTTTAGAGGTACACAATTTTGCTTTATGCGTTAGATTTTAACCTCAATTTTTTGTTCTTTAACTGGCATTTATGGTAGGCAAAGGCTGGTGAATACCTCCAAAAAAATCAGTGCGATTCCCCTTCTCATAATAAAACGTAGGTTTACTGACAGTTCACCCCTAAATCCCCATGGAGAAATGTATTCCATAAACTGATAGGGAAAGCAAAATTTTAGAAAATCCATGGAGTCTACATATTATTGTACATATTACATCTCCATGGAATCTACATATATTTTTGTACATTTCACATTTCAGAGTCCATATTAGAAGAAGGAGTTGTCAGATTTCTAGTCCCAGACCTCAAAGTGAATGGGGGTATAAACAGCAATATGAGAAGATAATCAGATGAGAAAATATAAACTATACTTACCTTGAATAGAACATATTCCAAAATCATGACCAGGGAATGGCATAGAATGAATGTGCATAATTCCCTGGCAAGTTATCCGGAAAGTGTATATCAGCAAAACTACTCCGAAAAAACTTACCTTAATTTAAGGTGCGTGAAACTGGTCTTCATGGGAAAAACCATGACACACTTGTAACAAGACAATATGGTAGACCGGATCCTGCAAAGAATTGGCCAACGTATCCCTGGAAACCTTAGTAACCACGTTCTGATGACTGACCTTCTCTTTTGCCTTACACTATGGCTCGAAAACAGATTAATCCTTACACATGAGCTTGTCTTATAAGGGTTTAACTAGGCCTTCCACCACATATCCTTGGTTAATATGGAGTCAAAGAAAGACCTGTGTTTGATTAATTCATGCATTTTAAAGATTTAATTGCTATAATACATTTTTTTTTTATGGGACTTTTGTAACAAAACAAAAAATTCCAACAAGCCAACTGGTTTAGAAATCACAATTGATCCATTATGCCACTTGTCAATGGTGCAGGCTGGTAGCACCCGTGTAATGTTGTGATGGAATATATTCTTGGCATACATTAGGAGTCTTTAATACCAGCTGATCATTGTTTATAGGAACACTGTAGTGTTGGGAATAACAAATGTATTCCTAACACTAGTGCTGGACTACTTATTTAAATGTCTAGCCCCATTCTGAATAGGGTTAAGACAGTTTACTTATTTTCATTCTGGATTTGCCATGGCTGGCCCCACTTCCACGGCTGAGATTAACAATCTTGATAATCTCAACCAATCCTATGCTTTCCCCATAGGAAAGCATTGGGAGGCTATTGAACATGTGCAACAAAATGTACGCACTGCACCAATCAGCATCTTCACATAGAGGTGCATTGAATCAATGAAAAGTGAAGAAAGCAGCTGGACTGGAAACAATCTACAAGTCAGCCACGCTTCCTACTTTGACCTTATTTGGAAATTTACTTTGAAACCACTTTGAATTATTGACAATTCTTACTATAGTGAATAATCTACAAGTGTCCAGGAGAATTTTGGCCCTTGAAGGAGATCAGTTGTTTTTCTCGTAATATAAACACCTTAATTACCTCCCTGCTTGTGGTATAATTGAAAATAATTTGAAACTTTGTAACGCAGAAACAGATGTATGGAAGTCTGTTAATATCTTACACTATTGAACTTAATGTTGAAAATCCCCTGTAACTGGTGCTAATTATTTTCCATATGATGCTCTTTTTAAATACATGTATTAAAAAACAAATTAGCAGGTGACATCACAAGCCAGGCCACATACTGTACTGAAGGAGATACAACATAAACATTGTTGTCCTTCCTGTGTTGGCTGACAGTTGCAAAGGGCAGACCTTATAACAGTGACAAACAGGGAGACAGTTCAAGGTTAAAACAGATCAGATTTCTACATTTATTTTTATTTTGTTGACCTCAAACATATATTAGTTAAAGGATCACTATAGTGTCAGGAAAACATAGCGGTTTTCCTGGCACTATAGTGCCTTGAAGGTGCCCTCACCCTCAGGATCCCCCTCCCGTGGCGCTGAAGGGGTTTTTAACCCCTTCAGCAGCTTACCTTATTCCAGCACCAGGCTCCCTCGGCGCTGGTGACCTCTCCTCCCCCACCATCAGCTCCCTCTGCCGACGTCAGCGGAGCCGAAAGTGCATGCGCGGCAAGTGCCGCGCGTGCATTCAAGCTATCAATAGGAAAGCATTTTTCAATGCTTTCCTATGGACGCTCTGCGTGATGGAGGCATAATATGCCTCCAGCGTCGCAGATGCGCCTCTAGTGGCTGTCCGGAAGACAGCCACTAGAGGCTGGCTTAACCCTAAATGTAAACATAGCAGTTTCTCTGAAACTGCTATGTTTGCATCTGAAGGGTTAAAACCTGAGGGACATGGCACCCAGACCACTTCATTGAGCTGAAGTTGTCTGGGTGACTATAGTGTCCCTTTAAATAGAAGGGTATGTAAATATGTAAATTTGATATTACACTAAATACCCTACTGGATAGTGATGGTTTTTTATTAAATGTCATATTTTAGCAACATTGTGATTTGTAGAGAAATCATAGATTCCATAAAAAAATTCTTTCCTTTTGATGTCTTGTTATATTTGATTGCTAATACACATACACATGTGTCCTCAAGTTGTTTCCATTTAGGCAAAATATCTCTGCACATATGCATATACTGATGAAAGTAACTCAATAGTTTCTTCAATTGTATACATGTATTTGTTTATACTTGGCATGAAAAATGTTGTTTGTAAAACACTGAGAATATATAATTTCCTTAAGTAATCACCATAGTGTCAGGAATAGAAACATGTATTCCAGACACCATAATCCTGGTATTGTAGTTTAGGTCCCCAGAGTCACTAAGATTGAGCTGAAAAGGCGTTTTTACTCACCTTTTCTCCCACCCCATGCTGGTCTCACTGCAGCTGGCTCCGCTTTCATGGCTGAGCTAATCATAACCAAAACGCTGCACTGTGTCAATCAGAGAAGCATTAAATCAATGCATCTCTATGGGAAACGTTTAGTGTCTCTATGCAGGGCACGAAAACGCTGAACGCCAGTGCACACTGGACTGAGAAGCACCTCTAGTGGCCGTCTGAGTGGCTGTCACTAGATGTCTCCCTAGGCAGCAATGTAAACACTGGCTTTTCTCTGAAAAGGCAGTGTTTACATTAAAAAGCATGCAGAGACAGGCTATAGATGCCAGAACAAGAAGCTGTAGTGGTTCTGGAGACTAGTGTCCCTTTCATCTTGCAATTCCTTTGACAAAAAAAAATAGTGCACAAAGGCAAATGCATGTTTTAGAACTAAAAAGTTATCTAAAATGATAAAATACCATATTTATTGATATTTTCACTCTCAAAATGACAGCATCTTAATTGCTGATTCCCAAATGTTCTGCAAAATGAACACTTTTAATTGGATGTGGATATGGTGTACACATACAGTAAATATAGTAAACATATAAAACTATTATCTGCATTACACAGACTGCAAATATCCCACTAGAAGGCCCATATACCAGGCTATGGAGCAGCATTGTACATTGTGAGTAACACATAGGGTGGTTTACTAAACCACAAATTGACAGGGAATTACACATTTTTCCAATTTAGCTTTTGGCTCAACTCAATTTATTTTGTCACTATATCGATTAAATCAGCAACTGTTTGTTGGGTAAACTAAATTTTAGAGAAATATAAATGAATCCTTCATGTCTAAAATATTTTGATATTATTATTATTACATATATAGCTGTCCAACTCACACATAGGGGTTTCCACAAAATCAAGAATTATGGAGAATTAACCAGGTAATGCAAAATTAATCCCTATGTATATTTAGACAAATGGAGGTCATTTAGTTGCTCCAATGGCCATTGGAAGGAATGCCCGCCTGCCAATGTCAAGGCAGACCCCGCTAAAGCGGGTCCTACACTGACCCCTAAGCCTGCTTCCCTGAGCCTCTGGCAAAGATATCTCTAATGAGACAGAGAGGGGTATTTTTTAAATACACTGCTATATACTTATTAACCCTTAATAGGGAATACATGGGATGGGTGGCAGCATTGTAACAAGGCTGTGTGATACAAAGTAAATACAAATACAAAAAGAGAAGTCCTGCGCTCACTCCCATCACTACTGGGCCGGCAGCAATGACTACAGTACACATAAGCCCCAATATATAGTAAAAACCAAAGAAAAGAAAACGTTACCTGCGCTCTCTCCTTAATCCCTATGTATATTTAGACAAATGGAGGTCATTTAGTTGCTCCAATGGCCATTGGAGGGAATCCCCGCCTGCCAACATCAAGCAATGCAAAGTATGTGCAAAAGCAGCTGGGTTTGATTATTTTCCAGTATGGCTACTTTGGCGTAAAATTACCCAGTATCCTAGTTCTGGTATAAAGATCAAAACTCTTGTAATGTCTCCATATTGCTATAATAATTTGGATTGCTAATCTGCTGGATTATGTAAAGTACTGTAAAAACTGTTAAATCTGTGAAGGTGCAATAAGGTAGTAATTAAAGGAGAACCATCACTTCTATTTAAATTACACCATTGTATAAAATACTGAAAATCACCCATAGTATGTGTAATTTTATTATGTGATGCTGTCTTTTATTCTGTCTACTAAAGAATTTGGCTTCCCAATCCAGCTTGGCACAGACAAGGCACACTTTCCATTCGAGAAGGAGAAACAGAAAGGAGATATTCCAACTCCATATATACTTTGCTCAGTGGTAGAAAAGGGGAGAGATTATAACAAAGACTGATCGGGAGTCAAGATGGAGGCACACAGTCCCATAATAGAGCAATGTGTATTTCTGCATTTAACTTTATATTTTTAGACCCTGCATATTTGTTAACTATAAGCAAATATATTAAAAATCTGGTGAATTGTTGATCCATCTTCAAAAGAAATCTACCTTCAAAATCACTTAAAAATATAATATACAATAGCATTAACTAGAATATTAATATAATTCTATTATGAATAAAAATGTTACAATGGCACTGAATATACACAGGAAAACTACCTTACTAGATTGGGGCTTGGCATGTAGTATTGTTGATTTAACTTAAATTTTTTTAACGGGAAAAATCCCTCATAGCCTAATAATTGCCAGTATTTGAAAAAAACATTAATCATCATGCCTGGTTTTACTAAGAGAAGAATTCATCTTATGTTTAAATACATAGATACTTGCTTTTTTTTACACGTGTCCTAGTCTGAAACACACAAATAAATTAATTTAATGTTTGTCACATGTTATAAACGTTAAAGTCAAAATTAATCTTTTGAGTGAATAAGTAGATAGAGAATTGAAAGACTTAATATTGGGTATATGATAAAATACATATCTAATAAATACTATATCTGTTTAGTAACAACTTGCATATGTGTTATATCACCCCAAAATATTACAACCATATGTGTATATGTTATGATATGTTTATTTGTTCATTTTATCTCAGCAAGGAAAAAATAGCCAATGTTCTATTATTGAACAACTCCCATGAGCCTCAGTAAAAAAAAAAAAAAAAATTGGAGGCAAAAAGCTAGAGAAGCATAATGTAAACTATAGTTGTAAAACAGTCAGAGCGCTACCTAATGGCAATCATGTGATTCCAAACCCTTCAATGCTTCCAAACTAGTTTTTCGAAAATTACAAGTGGAGTTATGCAGGGAAAATAACTGCCCCTCTTTTAATTTAATATTGGTTTGCGCATGTGCGTCACTTTCATAAATAAAGGTTTACACGAGTTCAGGATTACAAACAACTGTTTTGCTCCTAGAACCAGTAAGCAGATAAAAAAATAACATAACTTTAGGGAGTGACTTATTAAAGAAGCAAATTAGCTATGTTGTCATGTGTGTTGTAATGATTACACAGTATTTTATTTTGCTTAGTACATTTTACTTTACTCTTCTATCTGTTTACCTTTTCATTTTTCTCCTCCCCATGTTTGTTATGGTTCTCTCTCTCTCTCTCTCTCTCTATATATGTTAAATAAATGTAAAAAAACAAAACAAGATTAACAATACAATGAGACCATCCCACAATATTGAATAAGTTATTTTCTCCTTATTTTAGAATCTTCTCTCATTAGGAGTTTCTAAAGATGTGTCAAATTATTCCACCTTTGACATACTCGACAAAGGAATTTCATGCAAGACACAAAGCATATGGCCTTGTTTGCAGGACAAATTAATGGCTTTGTCTGGGAGATGTGGTTAAATGCTGTCATCCTTTCTGTGACTTGACTTGTGAGACACGTTTTTCAAATCTGATGGCACAATTTACTAGAAATAAAACACAAAGACAAATTTCAAAATGATAGGTGACCAGAACATCTTAAAAAAGGATAAAATAAATATTTACGCATATGTGACTATAGCCAGGGATTTCATAATCTCCTAAAATTCCATAGAATTGTTTGAAGCAAAATGTAAACAAGGCTCGTCAAATTGTGTAACGCATTAGCAAGCATCTACAGTTAAACTAGGGCATGATGAGAATTTGTAGAATTAGTATGTAGGCATAAACAGAAATCAGTCTGATTTTTGGAAGGTAAAGGAAAAGATGTATTCAGAAATTTATATATATATACATATATATATATATATATATATATATATATATATATATATATAGTACTTCAAAGGATTGATAACCAGTAGCAATATTTCTAGGGAAGCATAGCTCCTCGTCTCCTGAGGATTTCTCAAGCCATGAATTAAACAATTAAGAAAAGTGCCAAGTAGTTCCCTGAAAATATGGTTTGTCTGTGTTCTGCTGAACTAATTTAATAGGTCCTGGCTCAGAGGCTCAAAGTTGCAGGCACCAAATGTAGCTTTTAGAGAAAATAACTACAACTGAAAACAATGCTTTGCATTTAATAATATATCTCATTATTAAAGTGCAGTTTGTTTAAGGAAGTTGGTGCAGAACCTATTTTCAATTAGCATTGCGAATTAAATGGTGTTTCTTCTTAGACAATATATATATATATATATATATATAAATATATATTGTCGTGATTGACAACCCCTACTGCTCTGAATTTAGCCACACTAGGTTTTCAGAATAACATTGGGAACACAGCACAGAGTATGATTGTTAATTGGTTAATAACATGTTGATAGGGGGGGTATCCTAATGCTCTATCAGGATTACAGCCCTAGAGGACAGAGTATGAAATGAAGAAATTAATACACAAGTAAATATGCATGAGGCGCCATCATTTTCTTGCACAGTGTGCTTTGGCACAATTTTTTGTAAGACCTTGCCATAAGTAGGAGGAATGCATGCCATCGATGCTAACCTTTTCAAGCCAAATTTCCTTTTATAATTCCAAGAGAAATTAAAGATACAAAGACACATTTAAAGGCAGCAATAACTATACTCTTCATATGTCAGCATAATAAGATTATCAAACCTGCAGCACACGAAATGGTCGAAGTCAGATTGTGACGAATTTCTTAAAGTGATTTTAAAAAAAAAATGATATATGCCATGCATTTATATTGTGAAATCATATCCAAACGGGTCAAATTCTATGCCATGCATTGCTTAAAATGCTGTTTTAAATTTTTAAAAAGGGATGTGTACTTTTAACCTTTACTCTGTCCATTGTCTAACCCAGAACTGAATAAAAAGGGAGCAAACAAATGTTTAAACGAAACTGCCTGTTTTCACAATGGCTGGAGGAATTGTTTATTTTAAGCAATGTTTATCTGTGGAGATAAGGCAATATAGAAAATGTATGTTGTACTACCTTGAAAGTAGAAATCACAAGCTCTCAGATACACAAAAGGTTAATATATGACATAAACCTAAGCTATGCTTTTGTTTCTAAAATGGTCATCTCTTTGTGGGTTGGTTTTAGTTAGGTTATGCTCACCTTGTTAATCTACTCTTGTTCCCTTCGCAAACATACAATATTGTAAACTAAATATGAGTTGAGCATAAGAAGGTGGGAAACTAAATATAGTAAATAAATAAATAATAATGTATAGAAAATTCTGATAAACCACAATTTCAAATGTATATAGTATTCAGAATGAAATGAACATGCCGAGCACATACATACATATATACACACATATACACATATATATATATATTGTAGATGTAGGATTGCAAACCATATGGTAGCAACAAAAAAAAAGAAATTAACCTTTGGGAATAGAGTGAAGCAATTTGCACACACTACAGGCGCTCAAATGGTTAACTACCAGTTCTCCTTTTTCGAAACCATCTTAAAGTAAATTACAGTATTATTATTTTGAATGGCGGTGAGTTACCTTTTTTTGGTTTTGTTTATATGTTCAAGAAACACATGCAATCATGTAACAATGTTTGAGATTAAAGATCAAGTAAACAAAAAAAAAGACAAATAATGTACCCATCAGTTCTGCAATGACAGGGCTTCTACTGACTCATTAAGCATTATGAAAATTACAAGATTTAAACACAGATCAAAAACATAGCAAAAATAATAATAATAATAAAAACTAAACCAGTCCTTGATTTTGTATTTATTGCAAAGAAATAAAAAATGATATGTATATATAAACTATTTCTCTATAAATATAAACGATCTTGTGAAAGGCAAAATGAAATAAATGCATACTTTTCTCTCGAGGAAAAAAAAAACAACAAAAAAACATATTCAATTTACAATGCATTTAAAATATACATAAGAAAATAAATCAAGAAATAGTAAAATACTTGTTGAAATCTCATGACCAATAAATCACAATTGGCTTGTGTGATAATGTTAAAATATATATATTTATATTTATATATAAAAACAAAACAAAAGTAAAGATGTGTATTATTTAAAAAAAAAAAATCAATATAAAAATGTTTATTGCCTCCCCAATGTGTGAACTAACAAGAACCTTAAAAAAAATTGCTTACAATCACCTGGGATTTTTGTTTTCCGTTATGATATTATTATTAATTAATTGTGGCAGGAAGACTACATAGCAATATTTTGCCTTGATTTTATACATTTTTGCGGTGTGGGGGGTGCTGCAGCTTAATAGTAAAAACAATTTGTATATATTAAATTCAATTTATTGGGAAATTTTACATGCAGAACCCAATCTATGCATTATAACAAATGTTAAAAACAGTAAAAAAATATATTCACCCCAGGCAGGTTTGGTACACACCCCACATCAGTATGCAGCAAAGAATGGGTTTTAAAATAATGCATTGCTTTAGTGTTTTGTAAGATGGATGAAAAAAAAGATTCTAAATTAACCCATTGCCAATCCTATCCTAGCAAACCTGGTTATATAGCCAGGGAAGACTGTTTGGTAAATTGGATACCATGCAATTGTTTTGCAATAATTTAACCATAAAAGAAGCCAGTGACATAAGAAAAAAATACTCTATATGCCGCATAAATTAATATATCACATCCCCATCTGATATGGAATCTCAAATGGTTAAAATAACCTATGAAAAGAAAGTTGCATGAGTGAGTCTATTGGCCATATTTAGCAAAGGCTGAAACAATTCAAATAACTATAATGGAAAGTGCTAAATACAGGAGTACTTACTAGAGAAACCAAGATGATTTTTTCTTCTGATCATGACTTTGTCCCATAATTGATGCACTTTTGCCTTCCTATGAGTAGGCCCTATATGAGCTTAGAATCAGTTCATATATTTACTCTATAATGGGATGCTATACCAAAGATGCTACAATAGACCAATCAGATGTTGGATACCCTTTGGTAAATATCGTGGTTAATTGTAAACTGAATTTGCAAAATTTTCCCAGAAATAAATTGGATTTGGAAAAACAAAGTTATTTGCAACCTGACTGTTTTGGTGTAAATTTTACAGATTTGGGTTTCAGTTTATCTTAATCCCCTGATTGTTGAATAAATCCCTTTAAAAAGAGCCATTCTGCCACCTATACATTTTAAACCATTTTAAACTTTTCTTCGTAATACATTCTTCAATAAAGAGTCACATCTCAAAGTGTATTTTTTTTTTAATTTTCAAACTTCAAATATTCTGATAATGGGTTGCCCTTTTATCCCTGGAGTCTATGGCCTGCTTAGAATCAGTATTCTTCAGTTAAAGGGAAGCCTAAATGACAGAAATAAAATATATATATATATATATATATATATATATATATATTTTCCTTATTATTTCTGTATATATATATATATAGGAAGCTAGCAAGGGTGTATGAAGGAAAAAAAATCTAGAAAATTAACACTTTAAATGCAGAGGGGAGGCATTGATTGCAGGAGACAATCCTTCTTTACAAATTTTCAATAAAAAACCTGCTCTGTATTGTTTGGAAAAAAGGGGTCTGGATTTTCTATGCTGGTGGGAGGGAGAGAAGTGAGGCAATAGCGAGGTATTTTATTAAAGCATAAAGATAAAGCCTGTTACAAGTGCTATAAAGTTCTTATTTCTAAAGATTTTTCCCAAAGCATTTATCCTCAAGCATATGGCATTGTGAATAATAATAATAATAATAATAATAAAAAAGGAGTTTAAGGTTAATAAACCTTAAAATCACAACATTAGTTAGAACATTCCTACCATAAAAAGGTATGATCTGTTGTCATTTAAATACAAAATATACTTACAAAATGTTACACTTCTTATTTACAAAAAAGCCAAAAACATACAGTGTACATCATGTGCTAAGATCACACTGTAGTTTCTCCTTGTTTACTGTTTGTAAGTCTCGTGTAGAACTTTCTCCAAGAATTAAGAGTTTTACCAGACCAGATCCAAAATCCAGAAGTTATGCCCACAATCAAGGTCATGAGATATTTAATCATGAAGACGGTAAAATCCGGAGTCATAGGTGGGTGATGGGTACTTGGGCATGGTATGGCATAAGTCTTGCAGCTTTGGCTAACCCAGCTTTTCTCCCATTGTTCCCTAAAGGCTTGTTCATAGAAATAGCAAGCGATGACAATGGTGGCTGGAACTGTGTATAGAACACTGAAGATCCCTATTCTCACCATGAGCTTCTCAAGCTTCTCCGTTTTGGTTCCATCGTGTTTCATGATGGTTCTAATCCTGAAGAGGGACACAAACCCAGCCAGGAGGAAAGAAGTGCCTATAAACAGGTAAACAAAAAGTGGGGCCAGGACAAATCCACGCAGAGAATCCACATTGTTGATGCCAACAAAGCACACCCCACTGAGGACATCCCCGTCCACCTGTCCCACAGCCAAAATGGTGATGGTCTTGATGGCTGGCACTGCCCATGCTGCCAAGTGGAAGTACTGAGAGTTGGCTTCTATGGCTTCATGCCCCCACTTCATGCCTGCTGCCAGGAACCACGTGAGGGACAAGATGACCCACCAGATGGAGCTGGCCATGCTGAAGAAGTAGAGCATCATGAACAGGAAAGTGCATCCCTCTTTCTTAGTGCCCTGGGTCACAGTTTTGTAGCCATCCTCAGCAAACCTGTCATTGCACACCACCTTGTCCTCTAAGAGGAAGCCAGCGATGTAGGCTATGGCCACCATGGTGTAGCAACCAGAGAGGAAGATGATGGGTCTCTCTGGGTAGCTGAAGCGCTTCATGTCCACCAGGTAGGTGAGCACGGTGAAGAGGGTGGAGGCACAGCACAGAACCGACCAGATCCCAATCCAGATGCGGGAGAAGCGTAGTTCTTCCTGTGCAAAGTACATGACCCCGTGGACCTTGTTTACCTCACAAGGGGCTCCACAGTCCTTCTCCCCCAGGAAGTGGTAGTTGACATAGGCTGGGACCTTGAGAGCCCGGGGGCAGGAGAACTTGTCCCGGTAAGGGGTCCTGATGTTGGGGTGGCTGGTCCAGAGCTCGGCCAGGACCGGGGTGGGGGTGCTGTTCTCGGTGGTGTTCTGCCCCACGCACAGCTCTCCTGCCCCGTTGACCGGGAACTTCTCGCAGCGTAGGGTCTCCGGCCACTGGAAGCCAAACTTGTTCATGAGAGCCTCGCAGCCCTGCCGGGCACGGTCACACAGAGACCGGCAGGGGGGCAGAGCCTGCTCCAGCACTGTGCACACCGGTGCATACATGGAGCACAGGAAGAACTTCAGCTCCGGGGAGCAGTGGACCTTCACCAGGGGATAGAACTGGTGGACCTCCAGCCCCGCGTCCTCCTGGTTGGTGTGTCCCAGGAGATTAGGCATGATGGTCTGGTTGTAGGCAATGTCCGTGCACAGAGGGATGGAGATAGGCTGGCAGTAGCCATGGTCCGGTATGGAGATGCCCTTCTCGCCATTATACTGTCCGGTCGCCGGCAGCCAGCCCCAGACCTGCAGGAGCAGCAGGGGAGGCAAGAGGCTGTAAAGTTTAGAGGAGAGCCCTGTGTGGAGCCCGGGCTGTGCCATGCTGCCAGCTGCCCCTGTCGGATCCCTGGCCATGGACTGTGTGCAGCATGAAGACTCAGACAGGGGGCTGGTCCAGGCTGCTCTGATCACTCACACAAGTCCTGGCTCAATAAGTAGCTCACTCCCAGGGCCTCTCCTTCTTCTTCCCCTAATCTACAGGGTGTCCCTCTCTCAGTGCTTCTTGTTCCCCCTCCCCAGGTGCAGAGTGAGTGTGAAGAGACAGGAGGAGCAGCACAGCACCACTCCCAGCATCTCCCTCCCCAATCCTAATAGCTCCCCCCACTCTCAGCAACTCTCCACTCCCAGCAGCTCCCTCCCCAATCCTAGTGACTCCCCCCAACTTCCAGCAGCTCCCCCCACTGAAAGTAGCTCTCCCCTCCCCACTCCAAATAGCTCCCCCCAGTGCAGGCAGCCCCCCTCTTCCCCCCAATCCTAGTACCTTCCCCAAATTTCAAGTAGCTCCTCCCACTCCCAGGAGCCCTCCCCTCACTCCTAGCAGCTCCCCCCAAACACCCAAGCAGCTCCCCCTACTCCCTCACTCTGACCATTTGTGTCAATCCTTCAACTGGTTTTAGGGCGGTTTCCAGGCTCCCCGCTGTCCGCCTCTTCACCGAGAGGGAGGAGCCTTGAAACCAATGCAAACTTATCTGCTAATGGAATCCTCAGTGTCACAAGTGTTCTGTGACAGCTCGCCTAAACTTTTATTATTTATCGAAATCCATGGATACAGCGAATCAGGACACTGGAAAACAATCCACACATCGCCCTTTTAATCAGGTCCCTGTGACAAATACGTGCTATGTGGCAGGATAGCGCCGATTAGTGTGTGTAGATTCAGAGCGATACGTTTGCAACATTGTAAAAGTGGAGCAATTCGCAGGAGCATTCTCTTGTTTCCATGGTGACTGCCCGCAGTAGAAGCTTGCACCAGCACTGAAATCACTCTTTATATACAGTGTAAAGCATTCGTTAGAAGAAAAAAAAAAAATCTTTATTAGAAAAGATAATCAATTTATTCCTAATTCCAAAATTCTCAGGATTATTTGCAATATATAGACTGTAAAGTGTCTGGGCAATATCAGAGCAGTTTACCTAGGCATGACCTTATGTGAATCAATTTACACTAACAAAAATTGGATACAAATCTGGACTGTAATTATGAAGAAAAGCAACGATGGTATGTGTGGCAGCCTTTCACGTCATTCTTCTGAAAATGAAGGGTACACTCCAAACCCCTAAATCACTTCAGCTTGCTGAACTACTTTAGAACCTAAAAGAGTATCTCTTGTCTTTCTCACTTTATTCAAGTGAAATTGGCACTACAAAGCTCATTTTCTAAAGTTACTATTGTCAGAAATTCAAAGTGAATTTCAAGTTTAAAGGGACACTCCAGACATCTAAAGCACTTCAGCTTGCTGAAGTGCTTTCTGATATGAGTGTGTCCTTTTTTTTTTCATTTTACAAAAAGTGTAAATATAAAAAGAAGTTGGTACTTTTAATGAATTAACCTTGTTACACCTACTTGCTGCCAATCAGACAACCAGTCCTCTTACTTCCTGGTTTGATTAGCTCAATAAACCCAAACTCAAGAGGCAGCAATTGCCCAGAGCACCTGCCATTGAGCTGCATTGGGAAGTCTGTGATTGGACAGCCACAGAAAGTCTGGATGGGAGAGTAGGGGGACGCTTGCAAAGTTTTCGGACGGTAGATCTGCAACTTTTGCAAGTTGTCTTTAAACATACTCCCAATTAAATAAATGCATAATTAAAGGTATGCAGGTTTCAAATAGGGTGTATCTACTAAACAGCAATTTTTTAAATTTATTTTGGTAATTTAGTGTCTCTTTAAGGACAAGGTTTTGAAATTCGTTGGCCCGTGTACAACTGTTTGATTGTCCACAAGAGCTGCTGTAAACTGGCCAAGCAGTGAGTGTCCAGGACAGTGGCGTGCTTTCATGCTCAGCATTAGTAATCCAATATATTGGAGCAATATATTGGTAGCAATAAACTGAAGCACGAAAGGATTTGACACCACTGACAGCCACGAAGTGCAATGAATGCTAAGGCTGAAAAGGAAGGCACAGTGCCTCCCTGAGCACTCACCAATAAGCCATTCATACAACTATGGTAGAAAACAGAAATAGCTGTGATGGGGGAGTGGTGGGTTGAAGAGAAGTAATTGTGGAGGTTGGCTAGGAAGATGTAACTAGTGAAGATAAGGCAATATAACTAGCATGGGCTAGGGAGACATAGGAAGCGATAACTTATGGGAAAGGTGTTGGGTACCTAAAACCTGACCTAAAATAATACTAAATAACAATTATTGTTAATATTTTTTAAGAGCCAACAAATTCCAGAGGGCTGTACAATGGGTGGACTAACAGGCACGTATTTGTAACCATACGAGTTGGACACACAGGAACAGAGGACTTGAGGGCCCTGCTCAATGAGCTTACATGCTAGAGGGAGTGGGGTATAGTGACACAAAGGTAAGGGTAGGGTATAAAACTAGATAGCTAGAATAGTATTCACTGATATGCTTTCCTGAAGAAGTGAGTTTTCAATGATGTACTTTGAAGGAATGGAGACTGAAAGTCTAACTGAGAAGGGAAGGGAGTTCCACAGAGAAGTCTTAATGTAAGTGATATACAATTTCTGTGATGTTCAGTAAGCCCTTAGGACTAGCTGGACATCATGGGAATTGAACTTCACCTCTGCACTCTACACTAGGGCTCATAACCTAATGTTACCCTTTAAATCAGCTCCAAAACACCAGCCGTGTGTGATGTGTGGGTGCTGGCTGTATGTGATGTGTGTGATCTGACTGGAAGTAGCATGTGTGAGTGTGCTGGCTGTATGTGATGTGTGTGTGGTGTGTGCTGGCTGTATGTGATGTGTGAGTATGCTGGCTGTATGTGATGTGTGTGTGGTGTGTGCTGGCTGTATGTGATGTGTGTGTGGTGTGTGCTGGCTGTATGTGATGTGTGTGGTGTGTGCTGGCTGTATGTGGTGTGTGCTGGCTGTATGTGGTGTGTGCTGGCTGTATGTGATGTGTGTGGTGTGTGCTGAATGTATGTGGTGTGTGCTGGCTGTATGTGATGTGTGTGGTGTGTGCTGGCTGTATGTGGTGTGTGCTTGCTGTATGTGATGTGTGTGGTGTGTGCTGAATGTATGTGGTGTGTGCTGCTGTATGTGATGTGTGTGTGGTGTGTGCTGAATGTATGTGGTGTGTGCTGTGGTTGTATGTGATGTGTGTGGTGTGTGCTTGATGGTATGTGGTGTGTGCTGGCTGTATGTGGTGTGTGCTTGCTGTATGTGATGTGTGTGCTGGCTGTATGTGATGTGTGTGGTGTGTGCTGAATGTATGTGGTGTGCTGGCTGTGGCTGTGGTGTGTGCTGGCTGTATGTGGTGTGTGCTTGCTGTATGTGATGTGTGTGCTGGCTGTATGTGATGTGTGTGGTGAGCTGGCTGTATGTGATGTGTGTGGTGAGCTGGCTGTATGTGATGTGTGTGGTGTGTGCTGGCTGTATGTGATCATGATGTATGTGGTGTGTGCTGGCTGTATGTGATGTGTGTGGTGAGCTGGCTGTATGTGATCATGATGTATGTGGTGTGTGCTGGCTGTATGTGATGTGTGTGGTGTGTGTTGGCTGTATGTGATGTGTGTGGTGAGCTGGCTGGATGTAATGTGTGTGGCATCATATTAATGAAATAAAATGGTGACCTTTCTGTACATGTCTATCCCTTACTGCACTAAGAGAGCTAATAATAAATCTGTACCCCACTGGAATTGATAGGTTTAACATAAGCTGTTAAGCCATTGCACATCACTATTAAAACGTAAATGGTTAATTTGGAAACAACTGTGATGTTTATTCATCTTCACATATAAATAAAGTATTGAATGAGCTCCCTATGGTTATATTCTATGGGAGTTATATTCTATGCACAGAATGTGCATCTGAAGGCTACATTTGGAAAGAATATTGGAATTGGACTAGAAATTGCACTTTCAATGTTTACCAAAATCCATTTTTAAATAAATAAATAAGACTGCTTGCTGCATAAGCTTCCAGTAAGCCCTGCATCAGAAATAAAAAACAAAAACACATCTCCTTGGGATTCCTGACCTAGCAGGAGAGTAACTATAATGTTGACAGTATACACCTTCCCTTCCTCACAAGCAACAAGTCATGTAGAAGACAACATAAAAAATCAAGAGTGCATTTAATTATACCTTAATGACTAGAAGGGGACAATCAGAATGATCTTTCTTATCTTGTCACATGAAGTGCAGTGATGGGTATTCATTCTGTAATTCGGTAATAATTCAGTTTGGTTCGCCACCTCCTACCCTTTCCTTCACAATCTCATATAGTTAGGGGAGCAGTGATAGTTTATTAGCTTGGAGTACCAGAGGACTACTGTTATAAAGAAGAGACCAGCAAAAAGGTCTCCCGTATTCCCACATGACTGGTTGTGGTCACGATCACCTTTTTCCCACACCCTTTTAGTATCCTCCGTTGCCAAAGTCCATATTAGCACAGATGAAATAGGAGGGAGGCACGTCCTATTATTCCAAAACACAATGTCTGAGTTAATTTATTAGTATAAATAATATATATAACCCTCCGGGTGGTATTTTTGTGTACTCCTCATTCTTCAGTCTACCAGAGCCCTGGAAGTCTAAAGGTCCTGTGCAGTATTTAACGGTTTCTAGAACGGCACTCTTCTGGATGGAGATCTCACATGTCCCACCTAGGTTTTGCTGAAGCCACTCTCCCAATTTGGGGTAACTGCCGCAAGTACTCCTATCAGAACTGGTACTGCTACTGCCTTCTCTTTCATAATTTTTGTTCTAGCTCCTCTATCAGCCCTTGGTATTTGTCCACTGTATGTTTCTTCTTCTTGATGTTATGATCACTGGGCTTTGCCACATCCACCTCCGCTGCATTCTGACTTTCCCGTGTCAACCACCATGATGTCTGAAAGGTGGGCCAGTAATTTCTTGTCTGTCTTGAAGTTTAACAGGATCTTAACCCTGGACAAGCATGATTTGTGGTTCCTCCCATCTAGTATGTCCAGTCCATATTTTGTGCATCTGTTTTAGTACACAATCACACCAACTTGGTTGGACCTCTTAAAGGATGCTGTTCCTGCTAACATCTTACACCAGCTAATTATTCCTATTGGGCTGAGCACCCTATTCATCCACTATGGGTGCCCCTTTGGAGGTGACCACAGGAAAGATTAAATTGAGA